TTTGAAAAGGGTTAACGATATATTTCAAAAATGTGGTCTTGGGACGAGGTCGAGGACCTCACAATTCAACCCGGAGTTATCCTGGCAGCATCAACCAGTTTCGCTTTTGCCAGAAACCGGGTCCGGCGTCCCAGACTACTTCTAAATCACTTTCCAAAAAATTGTAAATCTTGAAGCACAATTAAAAGGGCCTCCCTTTGGAGGGCTATCCTAAGAACTGGTTATATAAACCTTGAAGTACTGTTAAAGGAAATTACTTAAAATCCAAGTTAGCTAAACCAAAGGTCAAGCATTTCTCCATCATTGAGCTAAACCAAGAGCTGAAGAGAAATCCAGGACTAACAGCTGTCCTACTAGGAAACAGTGTCRCAGCCTAAAAAYGGCTACTTAATCATGGGTGTCCGATAGCCACGTACRTAAGGTCATCTTTCCTTCTTGATTCACCCAGGCAAGCCTATTAGCCCCGGCCCAGGTTTTCAGGAACCAGTGGGTTCCTCTCCTGTGCCAGTCAGCCCGAACCAGTGGCTTGCACTTTCCAGCAATCGGACTCCACTAACCGCCCSCTACACCTGAATCTAGGGCAATCACGTAGTGCACCTGTTTTCTCCTTCTTTTTTCCTTGCAACTAAAAAAAAGACCAAAGATCTTGGTTGTATCTGAGCTGACTCCCCGTTTCGCACGGGGAGCATTCAWYTGCCTGCCCAAAACTGAATGCATATGGCAGAGCACGGGAAGCACAGTCGACAGTGTATCTTCCCTGCAATTGCGGCCTTCTACATGTGAATTCAAGGCAATCATATCATGTAGTCGTTTTTCCGTTTCTGTTTTTTTTTTTACAATGGCTGATCTCTCCAGAATGTATCTGAGTGCATTTGTGGCCACGGCCACCACGCCCAGGGTGTTGCACGAGTGAAAACGACGGGCGGTACCAGTGCCACTCCAGAAAGTATCCCAAATCGTTTCCGCCCCCTCCAGGCTCGGCAACACTTGGCGCGCAAGCAAAAATGAGGATTGGGCCTCAACAACCGGTAGGTACTGGTGGTCAACCAGACTACCTAGGCTTAAGCCAGTCAGACGCCACCAACTTACCTTCTGTTGAGACTGATGCAAGTACCTTGTTTCGGGCCCAAGTTCTGAGAAACCAGGGACGGCCTCTACCCTAGCGYTCCCCACTYTTTTTCCAGTCCACCCRTACGATTAGTCTGATGTTCGATATAATAAACCTGTTGTTGCTGGCGAAGCGCTCTCTTCTATCCTCTGAATACTGCGTCGTTTCTTGCTTGCCAAATTTYCTGCATGATTACCCCTCTGCAAACCAATGCCACGTAACCCCATCCGTCTGACAAGTTAAACTTATTAGATGGTWAAACTCCGTASAGCATCCAGACGTCTGRCCATGGGAAACCTTGACCCACCAAACTAGTCCACAGATGGGACCACCACATCCCTACTTCATCCGCCAGTGGGCAGTGAACCCACAGGTGGGYGTTGGACTCCCACCCCYGCTCACACCTAGTGCACGTGCCACTTCCTTACCCTTGGACGACAACCAGATAGTCGTAGGGACAACCATCAAAGCCTGCATCCACATCAAGCTAGCGTTTTTCTGTGAGGGAATCGCTCTCAAGGCTTTCCACAACGAAGGCCAATCTAGTTGTGGCCCCTGTGGATCCCTAAAATTGCACAATCTTCCCCTAGCTACAGATGTAGGTGTGCGGGCTTTGTTGGTTTGAAGGTACAGCGGAAGGTTAAAATATAAGACTGAGTGTAGATTCAGGGACAACGGTCAACTAGAAAATTCCCGGTAGAGCGAGAARACCTTTCTACGCCTTCCCACTTACTGAGCTGTCGTTACCCGGTCTTAAACCCYGACATCTTTCTACCAAGTCTCACGTCCCCACTAAGCTAGGTCAYATMATTGCGCGATCTGGCTTCGACATTTATAGAACTATAAACGTTAAGGTCTTCAGAGAGAGAGAGCGTAAGGTACGTGAGAGACTTAGACAGGGAGACCACATGCCGAATTCCATTCTAAGGAACATCAGTCCGGTTCCTAGATACGAGGAAAACTCACACACAGTCCTCCCCGTTTTGGGTGGGAGGCCTGAGTAGACGGCATTGGTATCTTTGTTGCGGAAGGATATACCACCTCTCCCCTCGGCATAAGTTATCCTATTCTACTTTCCGCCCTTTGCTGCCCTGAACCCCGCTCATTATCTAAGTACCAGCCCTAAGTTACCTTCCCTGACGAAGCATGTACCACCTCACCCCCCTGCCCAAGTTACCTTACTCTACTTTCCGCTCTTTGCTGCCCATTTCTGCCCCTCGCTGCCCTAAACCCCTCTCATTATCTATGTAGCAGCCCTAATGAGGAAGAACTCTGAATCCACGGAGGTGGGGGTTACACCAGTGCTTTGAGGACTGTAACTGACCAGTATGTGACGACCGTGAGAGGTCCTTAACCAGTATGTGAGTTATCCTATTCTACTTTCCGCCCTATGCTGCCCTGAACCCCGCTCATTATCTAAGTACTAGCCCTAACTAGGAGGGGCGTGCGTGTGTTATGTAAAGCATCAGTAGTAGATGGCATTACTTCCCCGACGAATTGTGAGGTTCCCGGCCTTAAGTACGTGGGGGTTACACCAGTGCTTTGAGAAATGTATTTGACTAGTATGTGAGGACCGTGAGACGTGGTTTTCGTTTTTTGCTTTTTGTCGTGAGGTCCTTGTAGCGCCCTGCCAGCCAGACAGGGCGGATTCCACGCGAGGCTGCTAACTGCCTCGCTTCAATTCAGTTCCCGACAAGTACCGTACCATCCAGCCAAAAACGAAGCTGATTGACTGGAACGCGAAGCAGCGGAGGGAGAAACTGTGCTCCAAGCGTTCAGGTGGACAAGAGAGCMTTATTGGTTMTGCACYMRAACGTTGGTTGCGTCGCTTTTATGAACTCAAATTCAACTTCWGTTAGAGAATCTTGGCAATTCCTAAAGGTTTAGCGAGGCAGAGGGAGAAACACTGCTTCAAATCGATTTGTAGTCCTTTGTAATGCGACTTTGCTGTCTGAAGTGCATTGCGACCTGCAACAACGGATCAGTTATTTGGATCATCTTCTTTTTAGGACTGAGTCTCAGCTCCTCCAAGCAAGCTTGCTTTSTGTCAGCCGTCTTTTYGAAACCTTTCTCTACAAAAAATCGCCGCCAGCACTTCAACTTTTCAACCAAARAAAAATCTTTGTGGAAACCWTTGGAAACAAAGACCGCATCCTGTTTCGAGCTTCACGCTTGTGCCCTCGGTCCCTTACAMAAACTTTGTAACCARGGGACARCRACCTCTTCTCGTCAATTGCATGAACAGTTCTTGCTTGCTTCCGAGGACATCCAAACGGGTTCCCCTTGAGCGACGTGATGATTATTTGCACACATAGCTCGTTCGGTGCACGAATCTCGAGAGGTCTCTGGCCCTGCAGGTTCTCAGGCGGCCGTTGCAAACAGTCCATGTGGAGACGAATCTCACATACCTTCTTAGAAGCAATCTCAGATACTAATGGAGGAGGGGGAGGATAAGGAGGTGGTTTTTTTGCAACCTGTCCCCATCTCCTGCTCCCCATCTTCTTCTTTCTTTTCTTTTCCCTCCTTTTCTTTTCCCTCTTCTCTGTCCTCCTCTCTTTCCTCCTCTCTATCCTTCGCTCTATCCTCCTTTCTGTCCTTCTCTCTGTCCTCCTCTCTGTCCCGCTCTCCCTCCTCTTCCTCTTCCTCTCATTCTTCCTCCGTATCCTCTCCCTCACCCATGTTATCTCCATCTCTTTACCCCACCTCCGGTGCCTCCATCTCAGCGTCATCCTCCTCATCCTCGAGCGTCCATCCTGATTCCTTTCCCCCTTTCTATCCTCTTCATCCTCTTCCTCCTCCTCAGCGTCTTCCTCCTCTTTATCTCCATTGCTGCCAAGTATTACATTTAAATCTTTGTTCAGAGGGACTCGCTGGGCACAATTACCTGAGGGTGTAATCTTACTCATTGTCGGCTTTCTTCCTGCTCCTTATCTACTTAGACCACCCTCTTCTCTGTCCTCCTCTCTGTCCTCCTCTCTGTCCTTCGTTTTATCCTCCTCTCTATCCTCCTCTCTGTCCTTCTCTTTGTCCTCCTCTTTGTCCCCCTCTCCCTCCTCTTCYTCTTCCTCTCCTTCTTCMTCCGTATCCTCTCCCTCATCCATGTYATCTTCATCCCTTTGCCCTAGTAGACTGTCAGTTGGAATCTTATATTTATATRTCTTTTCCTCCGGTGCTAGGAGAGCCTCGTTGGTTACTTCTGTTTWGCAACATTGATTTATAGGACTATAAATCGACTTAGCTTTAAGTCGGCACCCACCGCTATAGGGGCCCAAATCGTTCAAGGGGACATCACGAGATCGTCTAGAGATCGTCCGTTCTTTGACTCCTCTGTTTCCGAGTGCAGGCTTCAATTGACTAGACTTGTAGAAATCACGCAAAACAGCTACCGACATTTTCACCGCTTGTTCAGAGGGACTCGCTGGGCACACTGCTCCTTATCTACTTAGACCACCCTCTTCTCTGTTCTCCTCTCTGTCCTTCGCTTTGTCGTCCTCTCTGTCCTTCTCTTTGTCCTCCTCTTTGCCCCCCTCTCCCTCCTCTTCCTTTTCCTCTCCTTCTTCCTCCGTATCCTCTTCCTCACCCTTATCATCTTCATCCCTTTGCCCCTCCTCCGGTGTCGTCATCTCAGCGTCATCCTCCTCTTCATCCTCCTCTTCATCCTCACTTTCATCCTCCTCGTCCTCCAGCATTCCATCCTGATTCCTCTCCCCCTCTTTATCCTCTTCATCCTCTTCCTCCTCCTCCTCGTCTTCCTCCTCTTCATCTTCACTGCTGCCAATGCAAAGTATTACATTTAAATCATTGTCGCCCTTCTCTACATACACTTGCCCCTCGTCATCTTTTTCAAACCCTTCTCTACAAACGACTGTCGTCCGTCGTCTTTTTAAAACCCTTCTCTACAAACGCTTGTCATCCGTCATCTTTCTACTCCATATATACAAAGACCACCCTCGTAGAAGAAGAGTGAACAAGAGTCATTTCATTGTGTACAGGCTTGTGTTGTCTAGGCTCCTCTTCCTGCTTCGTATTTACAAAGACCACCCACTTTTCTGTCCTCCTCTCTGTCCTCCTCTTTATCCTTCGCTCTATCCTTCTTTCTGTCTTTCTCTCTGTCCTCCTCTCTGTCCCGCTCTCCCTCCTCTTCCTTTTCCTCTCCTTCTTTCACCGTATCCTCTCCCTCACCCCTATTATCTTCATCCTTTTACCCCACCTCTGGTGCCTCCATCTCAGCGTCATCCTCCTCGTCCTCCAGCATCCATCCTCATTCCTCTCCCCCTTTCTATCCTCTCCATCCTCTTCATCCTCTTCCTCCTCCTCATCGTCTTCCTCCTCTTCATCTCCACTGCTGCCAAGTATTGCATTTAAATCATTGTCGCCCTTCTCTACAAACACTCCGCYGTCGTCTTTYTCAAACYGTTYTCTACAAACGYTTGTCGTCCATCGTYTTTTTGAAACCTTTCTCTACAAATGTTTGTCGTCCGTCGTCTTTTTGAAACCCTTCTCTACAAACGCTTCCCACCCGTCATCTTTTTAAAACCCTTCTCTACAAACGCTGGATGCAGTTTACAAACCTCTTTGGAGTGCATTGCGGCCTACAGCAATGGATCAGTTTTCTTGAACAGCTTCTTTTTAGGTCTGAGACCGAGTTCCTCCAAATAAGCTTGCTTTATGCCCGTCGGCTTTTTGAAACCCTTCTCTACAAACATTCAAAAGAGAAACCACTGTTTCAACCTTTAACATGAATAACAAGTGTGGCATGTGACTCCCAGCCAACTTTGTTCTCAAACTTCCCGTACAGGATCCTTGTGGCTTTCCAAAATACCTTTAAGAAGTCGGCTTCACTCCCGGCCCACCAGACTTACAGCAGCAGCTTCGACGCTTGTCGTCCGTCGTCTTTTGTCGTCCGTAGTCTTTTTCAAACCCTTCTTTACAAACATTTGTCTTCCATCGTCTTTTTTAAACCCTTCTCGACAAATGTTTGTCGTCCGTCGTTTTTTTGAAACTCTTCTCTAAGAATGTTTGTCGCCCGTCGTCTTTTTGAAACCCTTCTCTACAAATGTTTGTCGTCCGTCGTCTTTTTGAAACTCTTCTCTACAAATGTTTGTCGTCCGTGGTCTTTTTTAAACCCTTCTCTTCAAAGCAGTACCAGATTGATCTCCTGTGCCACAGGATCCAACTGTTTGTTTCAAGTATGGTTTATGACCAAGAATTTGGTCCGCTGCTAAAAGTGGCGATCCCAAGGCATGCTAAGGAATTACTGAGCACTCCAGTGAAAGCAATGAACAAAGTTTTGGTATTTGATTCGATGTCATTCCACGGGTGGAGCAAAGAGAGCATTGAGTACTACATGGAGAATGTGCGATTCCATTCAAATGTAACTGAGACGATGATGGCTGAGACTGTACTCTCTGCAGCATCCAGAGGCATAGCGGACCCACTGTCAAGGGACAACTTGCAAGAAATACTCGAACGTCACGTCAACCTGGCATTTGTAGAGCCCTGCATTGTGAGATATAGGGTTAAGCCGCTGCAAATCTTGAGGCCACAGGTTCTAACTGCAGTTTACAAAACTTTTTCTACGAACACTTAACGTCCATCAACCCTTCTCTACAAATGTTTGCCGTCCGTCGTAGGAATAGTGATGATTGCAAATCTTCATCTCAGCTCTTGTTGCGGAAAAGAGGGTGGAAGGCATGCTGAGGAATTGTTGAGCACTGTTGTGAAAGCAATGAACAAAGTTTTGGTATTTGATTCGACGTCATTCCACGGGTGGAGCACAGAGAGCGTTGTGTACTGCATGGAGAATGTGTGATTCTATTCAAATGTAACTGAGACGGTGATGGCTGAGGTTGTTCTCTCTGCAACATCCAGAGGCATAGCGGGCTCMCTGTCAAGGGAYGACTTGCGAGAAATACTCGAATGTCACGTCAGCCTGGCATTTGTAGAGCCCTGCATTGTGAGATATAAGATTGAGCCGCTGCAAATCTTGAGGCCACAGGTTCTRACTGCAGTWTACAAAACTTTCTCTACAAACGCTTGCCGTCCGTCGTCTTTTTRAAACCCTTCTCTACAAACRTTYGCYGTCCGTCGSAGGAATAGGGATGATTGYAAATCTTCATCTCAGCTCTTGTTGCGWGAAAGGCGATGGAAGGCATGCTGAGGAATTGTTGAGCACTACTGTGGAAGCAATGAACAAAGTTTTGGTATTTGATTCGACGTCCTTCCACGGGTGGAGCAAAGCGAGCATTGAGTAGTGCATGGAGAATGTGCGATTCCATTCAAATCTAACTGAGACGATGATGGCTGAGGCTGTTCTCCCTGCAGCATCCAGAGGCATAGCGGGCTCACTGTCAAGGGACGACTTGCGAGAAATACTCGAATGTCACATCAGCCTAGCATTTGTAAAGCCCTGCATTGTGAGATATAGGATTGAGCTGTTGCAAATCTTGAGGCCACAGGCTCTAACTGCAGTCTAAAAAACTTTATGTACAAACATTTGCCGCCCGTCGTCTTTTTGAAACCCTTCTCTACAAACGTTTGTCGTCCGTCGTAGGAATAGGGATGATTGCAAATCTTCATCTCAACTCTTGTTGAGGGAAAGATGGTGGAAGGCATGCTGAGGAATTGTTGAGCACTGTTGTGGAAGCAATAAACAAAGTTTTGGTATTTGATTCGACGTCATTCCACGGGTGGAGCAAAGAGAGCATTGAGTACTGTATGGAGAATGTGCAATTCCAAACTCTGACAAATAATTTATGCTACACGTATGCGGCTGCACAAGATCAGTTTCAGTTGCGTGGGACCCCGCGCATCATTTTGTAGAGAAGCGTTTCACAAAGACGACGTCTTTTGATGATTCGCCAGTTCCAACATATCGGTCTCAATGATTTTCACATTACCGCATGCTCCCTTGTGCTTCACCTCTTTCTTTTCAGCCATTGTCGGATGTAATGATGCCCAACCTCCGCTTCCTTCACAAAATGTTGCGAGGGCTTCAATCCTGGACGAAATGTTGATCCAGACACTGTTGTTGACTAGGGGATCTGCCATCCTACCGACTTCGATTTTTATGTATGCAGTCACGCTGGCATCAAGGGAACGAGCCGGCCGGCACATAACACTTTCCGACATGTTGAAAACAACCTTGGCTCTGATGCCCTCCAGACTCTGACAAATAATTTATGCTACACATATGCAGCTACACAAGGTAAGTTTCAGTTGTGTCGGACCCCACGCATCATTTTGTAGAGAAGCGTTTCACAAAGACGACGTCTTTTGATGATTCGCCAGTTCAAACATATCGGTCTCAATGACCTTCACATTACCGCATGCTTCCTTGTGCTTCACCTCTTTCTTTTCAGCCATTGTCGGATGTATTGATGCCCAACCTCCACTTCCTTCACAAACTGTTGCGAGGGCTTCGATCCGGGACGAAATGTTGATCCAGACACTGTTGTGGACTAGGGGATCTGCCATCCTACGGATTTCGACTTTTATTCATGCAGTTAAGGGAACGAGCCGGCCGGCACAAGACACTATCGCAGTTTTTAGGCCTACAAACCTCAAAGTCTACAAACGGTTCGTTGTGTGCACAACTTCTATGTTTGTAGTTTATAGGACTATAAACTACCAAGTCTGCAAACTGTTCGCTGTGTACGCGGCTTCTGTGTTCACAGTTTCTAGGACTCTGCAAATCGTTGACTGTGTACGCAGGCTCTGTGTTTTCTGTTTTAGGACTTAAACTGTAAAGTATGGAACCCTTACAATGTTAAGGRAAATATTGTGTGTGGTTGTGGTTCGACAAAAGCGAAGGGAAAGCCTTTCACGATGCCTGCTGGAGGCTCGAAGAGGAAGCCAGAAGCGTCGCATACCACTCCACCGCAACCAGTGGGCGCAGCAGACACAAGTGTTGGGATTAAGAAGAAAAAAGTGAAGATCTTGGTGAAGTCATTGACGTCCTCGAAACGCAAGCGGAATGCTCAACAAAACCTGCATTTACCGGCGGAGCTCGCTGAAGATGAGGAGTCTGAAGAGCTCGCACGTATGTGGAAGGAGTTAGAAGAGATTGCTTCTAAAAAGGTATCAAAGAAATCCTTTCGTCTCCTCTTGGACTGTTTGCACAGACCGCCTGAGAACCTGCAGGGTCAAAGACCCCTCGAGATCCGTGCGTCGAACGAGGTACATGTGCAGACAATCATCGCTTCGCTCAAGAAGAACCTTTTTTTGTGGTTCTTCTTGAGTGAAGCGATGATTGTTTGCATGTACCTCGTTCCGCGCACGGATCTCGAGGGGTCTCTAGCCGTGCAGGTTCTCAGGCGGCCTCTGCAAACAGTCCATGTGGAGACGAAAGGAGTTCTCTAATACCTTTTTAGAAGCAATCTCTTCTAACTCCTTCCAGATACGTGCGAGCTCCTCAGACTCTTGTTGGTCTAATCGACCAGGGGGAAGCAAATACTGTTGACGCAGTTGACGAGCAGAGATTGTTGTTCGGTGGTTACAAAGTTTTTGTGGTGGGCGGATGGCGCACACGCGAAGCTCGGGATCAACTGCGGTCTTCGTTTTCAAAGGTTTCCGCCTTCCAGCACTCGAACTGCTATATCTACGCAGGCCTCACTCTGGAGGAAGCCAGAAACGTGGCCCACGAACATAACTGCATTGCTGGGCTCCCTAGAGACTTATCCTTGGCTGAGAAGTTGAAGTGTTGGCAGCAAGTTTTTAAAGAGAAAGGTTTCAAAAAGACAGCTTGCTTGGAGGAGCTCGGACTCAGACCT